AATACGTACTTAAGTTCCGACAGTACTTGTAAGTCGGACTCTAATAATGATTTTCTTTCTGATATCCATACGCTCGAGTTCGTGAATAGTATTTGATATGGAATATTATACCTCAGACCGGTTCGGTGGGTTGGTGGAATAAATCGGAGGAATTGATCTGGTCGAACAAAGCCCACGCGGATCGATAGAAGACAAAGGTCACGACCACAAGAACCCCGAGAGATCTGATAGGTCCCAGCTTTAAAAAGACCTGGTCGAAGGACTAGATGGTCAAGCAAATGGTCGTGAGATCGACCACTCCCTACGCCAGAAGCGACTTAATAGTTTATTTAGATCTGGTCGAGCATAAGATCTTTCAAGGGAATCTTTGACACAGTGTGGGACAGGTGGCGTGAGTTTATTGGCCTAGTTTAATAATTGTCTCTGACACATTCAAGAAGCACCTACCTAGAGGGTTGTACTATCGGGCAGGACGGGCAGCCAGTTCACCAATTTCGGGCAGTTTCTAGAACAGGTATCTCACCCCTAAATATAGGGGTGAGCCTTCATGATTTTACGCACAATCTCTCATATTCCATTATCAATCATAACATTTCTCAAGACTGACTTGAGCGTTGGAGGCTCTTCACCAGAAAATCCCTCCGGTGTGAGAGTTTTGTGTAGGTTTTGGAGGATCTCGAGGATCTCGCTAGCAAATTGACAAATCAGTACTCGAGCGCAGTGGTCCAGGAGAAGACGCAGCTTACGTTGATGGCGATGCGACAATGAGAAAAGGAGTCCTTACGAAAGTATGTTGCTCGATACAATCAGACATGCTTAGAAGTTCCAACAGCTTCGGACGAGGTCCAAGCAAGAGGTTTGATTAGGAGTCTACGATCGGGACCTTATCGAACATCGTTGGTCAAAACACCTGCTAGAACTAATGACGAAGTGCTGAAGAGGTGTAAGAAATATATCAATCTAGAGGAGACTGAGGCGGAGTTCGCCAGGTTAGAAGAGGTGGTGAGGCTTGAGCCCAAGAGAGGGACGATGAACTCACCGAGGAGGGGTTCGCCCAGGAGGAGTTCACCCATGAGAGGTCCGCCTTGGAGGGAATCGCCCAGAAGAGATAAGCAAGGTCCTTTGTAGGAGAGACGAGATGATCATTGGCATGGTCGACCCATTCTACCACAAGGTCAGAGATACAACAATTTCACACCGCTAAGTACTAAATTGGGGGAGGTGTTGGTAGCGATGGAGGAGAAGTTGGGGAATAATGAAATCACTTGGCTAAATAAAGGTTTGGAGGACCTACCCAACCCAGGTCGAACAAGTATTGTCGATTTCAAAGAGAATATGGACATACCACGGAGAATTGCAGACATTTGAAGGATGAGATCGAGCGCCTTATCAGGGCAGCGCATTTAAAAGAGTTTGTTTACCATGATCGAGCAAAGGGGAAGGAAATAAGGAGGTGTAGAGAGGATTCGGTGGTGAGGAGCGATAAAGATGATGATGTGGAGGATGAGGCTCGAGGGCAGAGAGGTGGTCGAGGCAGTAATGGAGACAAGAAGAGGCGTGGTAATGGAGATAGGGAGGAGTAGGAAGGTGAAATGACCATGAAGAGGCACGATTTACATGATCTCAGGTGGACCAACAGATGGAGACTCAAATAATGCCAGGAAGGAGCATACTCGAGCAGTTAAGCAAAAAAGGGAGGAGATCCTGCTCGGATGCCTGTGATCAACTTTCGAGTAGAAGATGCTGAGGGGATCCTGCTACCCCACAACGACGCGTTGGTGATTACAGCGGAGGTGACTGGTTTTGATGTGAAAAGGGTGTTCATCGATACGGGGAGTTCGGTCGATGTGATGTTTTATGAATGCTTCGCCCAGATTAATAAGCATTTGAATTTAGAGTTAAAGCCTGTGGTGACGGCTTTGTACGGGTTTAACGGAAGAGAAATGATGCCGATAGGGGAAGTTGGTTAAGCGGCAGACCATATCTACTAAATAATTCGAGCAAGGCGTTGCAAATAGGGAAACGGAGGCCTAGGTTGAACTGTACTTAGAAGAAGATGTACGAGCCATTGGGAGGATGGTCGTAGGTAACATTGTCGTTGGGTCTATAAAAACCCGCAGGCAGACTGACAAGGTCGAGGTCGAGCCAATTGATATGGTTCGAGCGAGGGCGGGAACTTTTAGAAGGACGTTTTGTTTTGGGCGGCTAGTATAAGGATTAGATTTCTTGCTCGAGGAGGATGGAGGAATGGTCGAAGAAGGTGAAGGCACGACAGGAGTCTTACAAGTTTTTAGTGGAGAAGGAAGGGTTCCAAATATTTCTTCACTCTCTCCATCACTCTCACCAAGTAGACCAGATGGTCTATGAGAGTGTTTGGAGGGAAGAGGGGGAGGAGGAGGAGGGTTGAATGTGCCCTCATCGGAATTGTCTACAAGGTAAGTAGATGGAGAGACTGCTTCAGTGGATGAACTAGGAAGAGGAGAACCAGGTCGAAGAGTGGCTAGGGGCGCGACATTATAGAGTCACTAGAGGGATCAGAGGTCGAAGAAGAAAGAGGAGCAGTCATGTCTTTATCGCTGTGGTGGTCGTTTTCACTTGAAGTTGCAGAATCTGAAAAAGAATTAGAAAGGGAAAAATGTCAAAAGGGAAAAGAAGATTTTTGGGGATTTTCTATAGAGAGGAAGAAGGGATAAGAAAATTCTCGCAGCAGGTAGGGTAAAACTAAGAAGGTGGAGAATTGAAAAATCAAAATCAAAGAAAATTCGCAATTCAAATAAAATACATAAGTTAAAGAATTTAGAAGACTTACTCATCATTAACAGCAAAGTTGTTGCAATGAAGACGAAGAACTTGAAGACGCAGAGAAGCTCGAAATTGCAGAGAAAGTTAGAGAGGATATAAGTGCGAAAATTTGCAGAAGTGAAAAAAAATCCTAGGTGTCGCAGCTAGGGTATTTATAGAAAAGGAAAACAAAGGAGATGAATTACTAACCGTTGGATTATAAGGTTTGAAGGGCCACAATTAAATAGCAGAGGAACAGACGGTGGATTACTGGCTGTTAGATTAAAGGTGTTGATCCAGCGGTCACAAAGGAGAAAACGTCTAATAGGCACGAAGTACGAAGATGTGCAACTTACGGAGCAATGATGAGGTCTGACACATGAAAACTCGCGCCTGACAAATGTGATAAATGGCAGAATTTGAATTTAGAAATTCAAAGTGGCGGTTGAAGTAAAAAAGGGGTTGAGGAAAAGCAAATAATATATTAAGTATTAACTGGTCGAAGATGATAGTGAAGATAATGACAGTCGAAAGACAGACGCGGATCTACTCATCGATCAAGTCATCTAAACTCGACCAGAGTAGGGGGGACTAGATGATATGGGATATTATACCTCAGACCAGTTCGGTGGGTTAGTGGAATAAATCGGAGGAATTGACCTGGTCGAACGAAGCCCACGCGGACCGATAGCAGACAAAGGTCACGACCACAAGAACCCCGGGAGATCTGATAGGTCCCAGCTTTACAAAAGACCTGGTCGAAGGACTAGGTGGTCGAGCAAATGGTCGTGAGATCGACCACTCCCTACGCAGAAGCGACTTAATATTTTATTCAAATCTGGTCGAGCATAAGAGCTTTCAAGGGAATCTTTGACACACGTGCGTGGGACACGTGGCGTGAGTTGATTGGCTAGGTTAATAACCGTCTCTGACACATTCCTGACGCACCTACCTAGAGGGTTGTACTATTGGGCAGGACGGGTAGCCTTAGGGCAGACAGCTCACCAATTTCAGGCAATTTCTAGAACAAGTATCTCACCCCTATATATAGGGGTGAGTCTTATGATTTTACACACAATCTCTCATATTCCAGTATCACTCATAACTTTTCTCAAGACTGACTTGAGCTTTGGAGGATCTTCACCGGAAAATCTCTCTGGTGTGAGAGTTTTGTGCAGGATTTGGCGTTCTACGGCGAGGAAAGCAAGATCGAGACAGCTCCTGGCCGGTCGGAGGGTCACACTTGCATTAGTATCAAATGTTCCAGAATTTCAAATCACTAGTTGCATTTAAAGATTGGAAATCCCATCATGTTGTTGCAGAATATGGATCATTCTATGGGTTTATATAAGGGGACATGGTTGGTTGTGACAAAACTCTCCGCTCATGTTCTTGAGTGTAAGGTACTCACTGGGGATCAGAAAGGCGAGAAGGTGTTGATTCCTATAAAGACTATAGCTCCTTTCGATGTCAGAATTCTTTTCCAAAAAATTTACTATAAAACAGTAAAAATGAAATTTTTTGGCGGGCTTTCGGTTGCTTTTTTAGGTAAATGCTAAACCTTTTATTATATATATAGATATAGATTATGTGTTTATTTATGAAAATCTATCATTTTGGGAATAAAAAAAAAAAAATGCTACAAGTACATAAAAAATGTACATAAAAGTGCACATAACACTCACATGGATTGAGATCCACTTGATTTTGTATTTTTGGTAGGATCCACTCAATGTGAGTGTTATGTACACCTTTATGTACCTATACAAAGAACGAGGGACACATTGACTCAGTCCACAACATGATGGTTTATAGATGGCCGACCTCATTGCTTGATGTTATTGACAAGGCTTGCCGTAACTGAATGCCATGCGAACAAAGAAAACCACACTATCTCATGGCAGTTTTGCGTCTTTCTAACTAGCATGTATCTGTAGTCTCCCTCTTGTGAGCTCTTGGAGGAAGGAAATGCCACTGTGTTTGTACATAGAAGAATGAAATGTAAGAGCATGTTTTTATTTCGTGGGACCCGGAACACTAGAACGAAATCCATTCTTACCACAAGCAAACTTTCCCAAAAAAAAGTCCTAGCAAAAAAGGTGCATTTTTCTATGACTTCATTTCGCTTCGTTTCGTTCGTTGCATTTCTCACAAAAAAATAGATAAATATAAGCGCTCTAAATAGGGCATTTCTGTAATTATGGGACGAGGGGTGTACTCGTCATTTCAGCATAATACAGTGAGCAACCCCAAACCAAAACCGTCTCCGTTCCACTCTTTGCTTCTGTTTGCTCTGCCCGCGGTAGTGAACTGAATAAAGTTACCCACAAGCGGCAAGCCTCCATTTGTGTTGTATTGTACTATTCATTTGGTTGCGACCGATACCCTACTCTTCTGTTACTCTTCTTTCTGTCTCTACGTTTCTGACTTGAGAAGAAATGGTGGTTAGAGAACACGACTCTGCTTCGTTCAATGATTTGCCGAAGAAGTGGTATTCTCGATCAAAATATGCACGCATACAAGATTTTTTATTGCATATTATCTGATAGAGTTTCTGGTTTGTGTGACCAATTTATTTTTCCGATGTGTAGTTTGGAATTTGACAAACAAGCTCTTTCCGCCCCCGTGAAAACTGCAGTTGAGAAGTTCCAATTAGTCCCTGAGTTCTTAAAGGTATAATTCTTTCTAATCCGTTGGCCTAAAATCGATCTTATTGGGCATGTCGTTCTTTTCTCATTATGAAAGTGAGTGTTCCTCGGTGTGAATTCTCTCTTGAAAGATTCAAATTGGATGATTGATATATACAAATATATATATATATATATATATATATATATATATATATTTTTGGAATTGAGGAGACATACGTGTCTTGTTATATCCAGATTATCTGGCAGATGCTAGAGTTGTATTACTTGATTGTTTGTTGTTTCATTTTATTTATCTTTGATCTCATTTGTCGTTTAATTTTTAGAATTTGAGTAGCGTTGTCATTTTTTCCCTTCAAATGTAACGCTTGCAAATATAAATATACTTTACCTACAACTAGTGAATTGTAAGTATCAAAGGGAATAAATTTTTCTTGTTTTGATTGGGTGGTGATTTTTATTTATTTTTTATTTGTTTATATCTCTATTTATTTCATATATTAAGAAGGTTTTGAGTTTGCTAAGGATATATTAACTGCTAGTTAATCTGCAAAATGTAGGTGAGAGGTCTTGTGAAACAACATTTGGATTCCTTTAACTATTTTGTGAGGACGCAGATAAAAAAGATTGTTCAAGCCAATGACCTCATCACCTCTAAGATCGACCCAAGTATTTATTTGAGGTGACAATTTTAATTTGCACCTGTAATTTTGTGTTCAGCTTTTCCTAAGATGTTCTTTATGGTTATATTTTCTTTTCAATATTGTCTACATTTTGAAAGCTGATGTTTTTTTTTACATTTACATGTAATTGAATGCAGATACAAAGATGTTCGAATTGGTGAACCATCTTTGTTAACAGATGGTTCAGTCGATCAACTTAACCCCCAAAGGTGCCGCCTATCTGACCTTACGTAAGTTACGGTTATCTACTTCTCCATATTATATACCGAGGCCTGTGGGAGGATATTGAACTTCTAATTCTGCTGAATATGTAAGCCCGTAGATGATGGACGAAACTAAAATATGGCATTTGAGTTGGTTTTATCGACTCATTCGAGCGCAAAAAACTTGCCTGGTGTTTGGAGAAAAGAAATTAGGGTTTATTTTGGTATAGAGGTGTTTGAGTGGAGAAGAAGTAATGCCTTACGAGACTCTTTCCCTAAGTTCTATTTCTGACTTCATATAATGTATTTCATTCAAAATGAGTGGGATGGAAATATAAAAATTTTTAGTACATTTTGGATATAATATAAGTTTCAAGGTATCCTGGTTTTGCTATGCGGGATTTATTTTTATTTATTTATTTATTTTTTCCCTCAAGGAGTTTTAATATGGAAATAGAACAGAAGGTGTTTCAAACTTATGAGTTCTGAGACGTGACAACTTTTTGCATGTTTTCAGCAACATTTTCTATAAATCTTTTCTGCCTTGTAGTTGTAGAGACTTTTCTATAGCCTTGATACTGCTGAAACTAATATACGCAATGAGGTTATATTGGAGTGCAGACAGCCTAGCTTAATAAGGAAGCAACTATGATTGAAGCTGTACCGTACCATTCATTTGTTATTCAATTGTGTAATTTTTATTTAATGCATTGCTGATATAGAGAAGCCTTAATGCCCTTTTTGATTTTGTTTTGCTTGAAATGAGGAATCACTTTTCATAAATCTCATCACATTTCTTACTGTCCTTTTACCTACGTCTGTTTTGTTGTTGAATTTCAGTTATGCTGCTCCAATATACGTGAACATTGAATATATTACAGGAAGCCATGGTTCAAAGTCAATCCAAACAAAGGTGATTGCATTTGAGATCTTGTTAATTTGTGAAACATTTACTTGTCCTGCGAAAACATGGCCAATTATGATTGTGACACTTATTTATCGATATATCGATATATCTGTATATGTGTATATATATATTTATTTATGTAGACTTATATATATATATATGTATATATATATATTTCAGAAAGATGTCATCATCGGGAAAATGCCTATCATGTTAAGAAGTTGTCGTTGCATCTTGTATGGAAAGGATGAAGAAGAACTTGCAAGACTTGGTATCTCTTCTCAATTTCACTGTGGATATTCATTTTCCTTTGTTATCACAGAGCAAGCACATTTTGCTGGTGTTTTATTGTGACTTTGTTGTTCTAAGTTCTTTATCCATTCCCTTAGGTGAATGCCCACTCGATCCTGGGGGGTACTTTGTCATTAAAGGAAATGAGAAGGTGATACTTCAATCATTTATTAATAATTCTTATTTTATTGTTTACGATAAGTGGTTGATTATAACTATGAATAAATGAAGATTTGCCTTCTAATTTTGGTTTACTGTGTAAGTTAGATGTCTGAGACGGCATGATTGACTTCTTATCAAGGGGTTTAGGCATTTTCTTTCTGTCTCAGATATTGTTAGAGATGGTAGCCATGCCTTGTTGCTTATAATTTTTCTTGTTTTCATTTCTTTAATGAATTTTGACATCCTTCTTGTGTAATGTAACCCTTTCTCTAAATTTTTCATTTCTTAATAAACTGATAAAATTGAGAATCTGTTACATCTTAGTTCACCAGATAAAGTGATGAAGGTCTGGAGCCAATAACACATTTCTTCACCGTTTTTCTGATAATTAGAGCATATTTTGGTCTATGAAGTTTAAACATACTTCATAAGTTAGGGTCATCAATGAGAAGTTTAGGCAGTACTAGTTTCTTGTAAGATACTACAATGTGAAAGAGATTGGATATTGTTTGTGTGATGGGTTTCTTTCGGGATTTAGATATCTGACTTTGTACCTCAGATGACATAGGATGTTCTGTACTCCAAATGCACAGATGCGGCCATTTAAATATCCCTACAGTCGAAGATCTTGTTTTCTACATGTTTTTTGCATTTGAGAATTGGGTGCTGGTAAAAGGTATTAATTATAAAATTGTGTTGCTCACGTGGTTGAAAACATTGATTTATGTGGGCATCTGATTAATATATTGGACTGTGGCTAGTTCAGCTACTTCTCTTGTTGGATATTGGAAGCAAGAGTTACTTAAATACCGTATTTTCTGGTGGGGCTGGGTTAAAATAGAATGATAACGTTTCTCACTTTTATCGTTTGTTTTCCTTGGTATTTTATTTGTACAAGCTTTTCCTGTTATTATAAATGTTTTTTTTATTTTATTTTTTATTTTTTTTTATTTTTTTTTAAGAATATCAACTCCAATGTTTACAAGAAATCACCTTTAAGTTAAAACACAATATTTGTGAAAAATTATTTTTGCCTCACACCGTCACGTCAAGCACTGGACTGTTATCTTTTGTAACTGTGGGATGAGCACCCTATGAGCTAGCTTTTGGGGGTGAGTTCTACCTAGGCCTATTTCTCAGTAGTTTTGCTAGATAGCTGTTGGCCAGGTTTTTAAGTTTATGTCATGGTCCTTATTCTCATATCTTCTTCCAGGTGATTTTGATACAAGAGCAACTTTCAAAGAACAGGATAATCATTGATACTGATCAAAAAGGATGGTGAGCTTGTTTTTTCCCTCTAAAAATTTCTCTATATTCTTATTGTGAGCCTACGGTGCCTTTTCAGGTTGACATTCTATTATATACACAGTGCATCAATTTTAATTGAACAACATATTGGTTAAAGAAACTTTGTTTTTTAAGGTTATGGACGTGTATGTTTGTTAGACAATCAGGAACTCTATATACAAAGTGTTGATGTAAGATAAATATGAATCCTGTTTCTGTTTTACTGTTTTGATAGTAATTGTACGACACATAGGACAAATTGTGGATTGATTTTTGCATTAGATAACTAGATAAGTTAGCCATGGGAAGCATGGGTCTATACTTTGCTTGTACTTTGTCCAATGAGGTCGAATTGTGTCCTCATTTTGTCCTTGATAGAGCTTTTGTATTAATAATGCCAGTGTTGTCAATGGAAGATGGCAGCAAGGTCAAAATCTACCATATTTCAGTATATGTAAATTTATATTTATGAAGTTCCATAAGAATTTGCAATATGTATCATTACCTATAATCCACATTTTCATAAATTGCTAATAACTTATTTTCGACAAGTGTAGAACTTCATGGTAACAACATGATGATAAGAAAATAATCACAACACAACCAAATAAAAAAAAAAAAGGGAAAAGGGAATGTAACATAGGAAAAAAGAATTGAAACTGAGAGCCAAAAAAAGTAAAAAGTTAATGGTTGGAAGGATGGTTTTCCTCATGACTATAGATGTGCCCGCCAGTTAGAACAATTGATTCTGATTCCTTGAGATCGTGATTCATTGTCTTAAATGCTATCTATTTTCCTGCTTCTTTTATTTCTTAGTACCTTAGAATCAGTATTCTATAAGTCGCTAGGGGCCCACTAGGCGCTCGACCAACGCCTAGTGCTGCCTAGGCGGGGCCTAGAAATTAAGATTAAATACCTTATTTTTTATTTATTTTCACTACCTACAAAATAAAATTATCTCAACTTATAATAAATTCACACACCTAACTACCTAAGTCCAAATAATAATATTAATATTATTGTAAAGAAAACATATAACAAAATAATGTAATTAATATTTAAAAAATAAAAAAATAAACTGAAAATTTGCCGCCGAGCCTGCCTAGGCGCCGCCTGGCCAATTTTTTCAGCTGATTCATGCAAATCGGAGGTGGCAGGGCGGCGCCTAAGCTGAGTTTTAGTACAATGGCTATAATTGCAATAGTTCAATATGAATATGATGTTGGTTGTGGTTTGTTATGTAATGATTTAGAACAAGTTTTTCTAGTTACTCATTTATTTAGATTTAACAATGACCTCCATCTTCAAATTATAAGCCTTCCCTGAAGACTCGTTGTGAGAGCTTTATATGACTTTATATCCCTGCCGGTGATATCAATATATTGACTGTTGGAGTTTGCAGTTTTTCTGACTGGGGCTCTTTAACATCATTTACTTTATCTCAGTGTGCAAGCATCTGTGACAAGTAGTACGGAAGCAACAAAAAGCAAAACAGTTATAAAGATGGAGAAAGAAAAGATCTATCTGTACCTAAATCAGTTTTCAACAAAGGTTACTATGCTACTCATGAACACTTCTATTTGTCCCAATCTGCGAACTCTATATTCTGGCTATCTTACGTCATGTTTTTTTGTTATCTTTTAGGTCCCTATCATGATTGTCCTGAAAGCTATGGGCATGGAAAGTGATCAAGAGGTTGTCCAGATGGTTGGAAGAGACCCTCGGTATAGTCAACTCCTATTGCCTTCTATTGAGGTACACAATCTGATTTATGTTTTAGAAGAAAGTCCTGAAATTATTTTTAGTTATACTGGTCTTTAAAGCGTAATGTATTTCTCATCGGGTTTCTCAACTGAAATCATCATTTCTTGGTTGAAAAGAAAGTGGGGCTAAAAAAGCCTGGACTGTAAAGCATGTAATATCGTTAATTTTGCTCGTATATCCTGGAATTTTACTTTTCTGTGTTGGTATCAGGATTGTGTGAAGGATGGTATACATACCCAATCTCAGGCACTGGAGTTCCTTGAACAGAAGGTTTCTTTTCCCAAAACTTAAATGTGAAGTATCTGAGCAGTAGCTTTCCCCTATAATTAAAAGTTATATAATCATAATTGTTTTAAGTTCTTGCTAATTGCTGTACTGTATATGCAACCAACTTGGACATGAGAGATGTGATTCTGTTCTATTCAGATGTGACATTTTTATCAATATTTTTTTTACTGATTATGTTTCATGTTTGCAGGTTAAGAAGTCACCATATTACTCTGCATATGAGAAGGTTAAGCTTTTGTATTACTATACTGACATTGTTTTCTGTTATTTTTTCTTTTAATTTTTTTCGCTGCTCCTAACAACTTTGAGAAATAGTTCATTCCTTTCTGCTTATTCGGCTCATTCTCTTTTCGACCATCTTTTGCATTCAGGAAGGGCGTGCACTGAGCATTCTCCGCGACACATTTCTTGCAAACGTTCCTGTGAGTGCAATTTTATGTTATGTTTGAAAGGAAATTAACACTCTCCCATTCCAAACTTCATCATCCCTAAACCCAATTTACCCAAAATACTTTCACAGGTGCGTCAAAATAATTTTCGTCCAAAATGCATATACGTTGCTGTAATGTTGAGGCGCATGATGGAAGCAATCTTAAACAAGGATGCAATGGATGACAAGGTACAACTTAACTAAATTATATAAGGCTTTTCTATGTTACTTTTTATTTTTCTTCCAAAATGCTGGATTGTACTCCATGTTGCTCCATCATACGTCTGTGTTACTTACTCCATAGGTGAACCATATGAAAAGATGTATAACAATTCTGGGTTAATATATATATATATATATATATATATATATATGTTTGTACACACACTTCATAATAATGATACTCCATAGGAGAACCATATAAAAAGTTGTATAACGATTCTGGGTTAATTTATATGTATATACTTCATAATAAATATTTTCCTAGTAAAAGAGTACTGTGAGTGAACATTGGATGTCTTTTTGTTTCAGTATCAGAATATGCTATAGGTTCAAATATTTCTGCACAACACTTTGATTATGTGTATTAGTGGATGTCTTATTCACTTGTTTAACTTTTCTGCAAGTGAATAAGATGGTTGTTTCATGGAAAAAAAAAATGACTTATAAGCTCCTAAAATTGTTTCATTATAGTTTCTCTTAAAGAGCTTGCTGGATTTTGAAAGCTATTTTAACAATCACATTATTGTTTTTAATTACTAATCTACCATTGCTGGAATCTTGAAAGATCTATTATCGAATTTCATCTACATACATCATGAACTCATTTTTACAATGGTATCTTACATCTTATACGTATTGAAACATCTTATTATGCAAAGGATCTTACCTATTTTATATAGATTTGGCCAACACCTCCTAGTCATCCCACATAAATTTATGAACTTACCCGAGTCATGCTTTGGGAAGCTGTACCTGATTAATATTTGGTTAAATCACAATTTTTGTTCGCTTTGATGCCAATATCAAACAATTTTTGTTACTAATAGAACACATCATATAAAGACTACCAATAGTGTCACTTTGCTTTTCATAGTATTTGGTCTAGTTAGGAGTGTTTTGCCACCCTTGAGATACTTAATTGATTCATTATTGTAGGATTACGTGGGGAACAAAAGATTGGAACTGTCTGGCCAAATGTTGGCCTTACTTTTTGAGGTACTTTTACAGCATTTTCTTTGTTCATTGTTCATACTTATTAAGTTTGGTTATTATTTTCTTCATTTTGTATTTAGGATTTATTCAAGACAATGAATGATGAAGCCTGCAAAGCAATTGATGAGAACTTAACAAAGCGACTGCTTTCTAGTCGATTTGACATTTCTCAGGTTTGCCCCAGTATTTAGGTTCAATCAACATGGTAATATAAATAAGAGATTGGAAGCTTTAAATTTTGATTTTGGGTATATGTAGTTGAAGGTGTTTACTGATGCACCTCTAATATCATCTATTTATCTTGAACAAGCAATGCTCCGAATCTAAGTGACGAATCTGAATGACAACCTGCAAATCCACAAATGTGGTCCACATTTTCCGTTTGTATATTATTTTGGAGTTGGATTAGGATTCATTGGGATTTAAGTCATGAAAAAAGTCATGAAATCCTCAATCTCGGGTGTTGAGATAAGCACCCTTGTTTTATGTACCCGAGTAGGATTGTGATTCGTGTGCCTTTTTGCTGTAATGTTGTGTGTTATTGTATTTAGTTCTACTATAGTTTAAATGTAACGTAGTAGTGCTACATCACCCGTGTGCCCGGCTTTCCGCCGAGCTGGAGTATAGCTAACGAACTAAGCATGGGTTTGTATAAATACACGGATGTTAATTGAAAATTTTATACTTGAAAAGTGAAAAAAATAGAATCTTTTGTAATAATTAATTTTTTATTATTTTCCAGTCAGGATATATTAGATAGTTCTATTTTTATTTATAAAGGTAGATATAATTTTTTATTTATGCAATATAGATATCAAATCGAAAATCATGATTAATTTGATATATCAGATATCAAAAATCGATTACAATTAGAAGAATTATTAAGTTTTGAAATGTTTATAATTTAAGTTGATCAAGGGTTTCATTATTTTAAAACTCCTAATAGACATGGATGAAAGTCCAAATCCATGGACTAGTCTGAACCACAAGAATTTGACACATAGGGTTACAAAACACTAGAAATCGACACATAAGATTACGAAGCTCCAGAAGTTGACACGTAGGTTTGGAAAACTCTGCATTTATATATAGGAGGGATATAAATGAAAAAAGTTCGGACTTTTACAATAAATGTCTGGACATGTCTAGTTATTGGGTGATTATTGAAAACTAGAATCTTAGTACAAAAGGTCTTATTAGGAGATGATTGAAAACTGTCATAAATAATTGTTATAAAGCATATGGAATCTTGCTCAACTGTTTCGAAGAAATTTTGACCATTCCTGGTCCATTTCACATAGTGTAGGATGTCTTGGTATTCGCATTATTTTTTTTCATCATTCGCCATTGTGTGTGTTCAAGTGTCACTTGTTTCCTTTGCCACGTTGCTATCTTAGAGCTGCGAAGGCCGTTAATGGATCTTTGGTTTGAGTGGTGTGTGTGTTGATTTACTATCTTATTATGTACGCCTGAGTTGATTCGTTCCTTACGTTGTTGTTTTAGACTGGATGGTCTTGCTGATTAGCGACTAAGCTCCTGCTTATTTAACAATGCTAAGTTCTGAAGTTATTGAGTTCCTCTTAGAGTTTGCCAGTTCCTTTCTCACTGTTTACTACTTTGTTAGTTGCTACACATTTTAGTGGTTAGACACCGAGTTGAATTCTTACACAAAAACTTACATTGAACTAGATAACTCTCTTTCTGTTATTTTGTTTTGGTTATGTCTTCTCTGATCTCACTTAGGATAGCCTCCATTACTTTAATTGTTCCTCTTGCAACTTCGCAATAAGGTTATTTGTTGTAGTATGATTGTCACTTGTATCATATGTTTATTATTATGATTACATTTTGTGGTTTCCTTTCTTTAGTCTTNTATTAATCAGTATATTGTGAAAGATAGAATCACGGTTGGTCTAGAAAGATCCCTTTCTACTGGGAATTGGGATGTCAAAAGATTCAGGATGCACCGGAAAGGAATGACACAGGTATTTAAGACATTGATGTTTATGCTTTTCCTCATTGCTGCTTTTAAGTTTGTCCTGAGATTTTACATACGTTGAAGTAAAGGGTGAGCGTGGATTTTCATTGTTTCAGGCTGTACAACGACTTTCATACATAGGTACTTTAGGTCATATGACCAGAATCTCACCGCAGTTCGAAAAATCTAGGAAAGTTAGTGGACCTAGAGCATTGCAACCGAGTCAGGTAACTGATATATCCCTTCAGGCTATCATTCTACGCATTGTTCATTTTTCAGTTCAATTCCAATGTCATGTTTAGTCTTACTAAACCCTTCATCTACAGTGGGGCATGTTGTGCCCCTGTGATACTCCAGAAGGTGAAGCTTGTGGATTGGTGAAAAATCTGGCTCTGATGACTCATGTTACAACGGATGAAGACGAAGGGCCCCTCATGTCTCTGGTATATAATCCTCTATTGATGGTTTATTGCCTTTTGGCCTTATTTGAATTTTATGCAATATCTGTTGTTGCATTTTTTTCCCACCTTATGATCTGGCTATCCAACAGCATAGGACTTGTAGTGTTCTTTAACTTTGTGCTTAGTTAGGGAGGATAAGTTTATGGAGTTGAACCCATTAAAGGCTATAGACCTAGCTTATGAATTTTAGCGAGCTATACTCGACCGAAAATCAACATGAAAATTACTGCTCCCTTATTGTAATGTAAATCAATTCCACTTATAGTAATATAAATGCCCTACTATTTGTAACTGTGTTTCAGTGACATCTAAATTAAAAGCATAAACAATGAATCTAATGGATTGTAATATTCTACATACCCTAATCTATACCATATAGTGTTATTAATGCTGGATGGCGGTTTGCCAAATCTATACATTATATACACTAACATCCCCCCTCAATCTGAAGCATTTATATTAGTAATAGTGCCCAGCTTGGTACAAATGTTGTTCATCCATACCCGGTTCACTGCTTCAGTGAATACGTCTTCGAGTTGGTCTTCTGATTTAATATGTTCTATGGGAATGAACCCTTCTTCAACTTTTCAATTCGCTGGAAGATTAAGCTCCAACCCAAGCTCCCTCAGTAAGTGATGTATCCACACTATCTGACATGCATAATCAACCAAAGAGTATATACACTTTGCCTCAACAACTGAACGAGAAACATTTTGTTTCTTGCTTCTGTAGGATATAGGATTACCTTGAACCAGGGTAGTCAACATCATTATGCTTCAATTAACCTAGCAAAATGACCATGTTGAGCTTCTTTTAGATGACTCAGAGTTTGCTTATGAAGAGCCCAATAACAATTAATCTGAGCAGACATAAACCGTCTTGCAACATCTACTGCAAATGCTATGTCAGACATAAACTGTCTTGCAATATCTACTGTAAATGCTATGTCAGGACATGTTACTGTAAGATGATTCAACTTCCCCACAAGATTCCTTTCTTCTTCTCAGTATCTCCACCCCTAGAAAATATAGCTGGGATGCAACTCTTTTGTCTAAAAATGTGAGAAAACTTCAACCCTGAAATTCCATCACTGTCATTTCTCATCAGTGATTAAAATGGCCTCGCTAAGATGAGGCATGGCGTGGCCCACTTGGGGGGCCTCAGGAGGTGTAGCGAGGCGCCCTTGCAAAAGGCGCGCGCCATAGAGCTGAGGCGATTGTTCTGAGTATTTGGAAATTTAGGGTTACCAACGTTGGATTTCTTGCCCTATTTCTATATAATACATAGTCTCCAACGAAACCTTAATAAATTTGTGCCTTTTTCTTTACCTGATCGAGGCGATGGTTGACGTTGATGGCCACGACGACGACTTTATTGACAATTGTGTATGTCTCTTGCTTTCCTTTCTATTTGGCTTTCTTTGTACCTTTTTTGTTCCGATATTCCTTTTCTTTTCTTTCTTTCATTCATTTTCAATTTCAACTTTTGGCAACTACCAAGCCTCCAATTAATCCTTGCGTATGAAAATCCTCCAAGCAATCCTTTCTGTTTTGTCTTTTCTTCTCGTCTTTCTTCCAGAACCCATCCCTCCTTCCCACCACTTCTCTTTCCTTTTATTTATAATTTTACTCGTGAGTGGATTGGTAAAAAAAGGGCTGCTGTCAAAACTGAAGGCACTATTTATTTGGACTGATAC